TGGGGCTGTGCCCCAATCAGAAAAATGTAATAGATTAGGAAAACACATACTTTTTATGAATGCATTTAAGCATAAGACTATGCAAACACTTGAACTGGCACAGCTGAAGGAATCATTGGGTGGAGAGAGAACTGAAACATCTTTAAATGGCTACATGTAAAAGATGTGTATTGAGGAATTGCACCACCAACTTGTCTGTGCATCATTTTCCCAATTTGAAGGATGAGAACAGGACTTGCCTCCATCTCAGAGGTGTCACAGAGTTTAATTAATGTTCGCAGCGTGCTCTCATAGTTTTGTATGAAGATGCTATCATGATACAAATTACTCAGCGAACCAAACCATTACAGCACTTAGTTAAAACTACATGATTACACAGCCTTGAAATTTTAAAATAAAGGAAAATAACACTAGGCAGACAAACTTCTATCTAGGAGTTAGGAGGCCTAATTTCCTCCTAACTGAGAAGCAGTTTCCCTTCTTGAAACAAAGAATGTCATAAAAACCTCACTAATATCAGAGGATAACCCAGTGCCATTTATGCACTATACCTGCAGATCACCCAAGATGGACTCCTCGGTCCAAAGGATTCAAAAGCTCTATAGCTAAAGTCAAAAGAGCTCCTGCATGGGTTATTGACTTCCAACTTAATCTCCTTTTCTTGATCAAAAAATGAAACTTTGAAACATCCAACATAAAGAATAGCATGAGCGCAACAGTACACCTTCAAGACCAAACATCCAAAATTCAGCAAATTCCACTTTTAATTAAGCAATGAAGTACATTTAGGATAGTTTTAATTTCCCTTGTATACGGGAGTTCTAGCAAGCTATGCTTAATGTGCCCTAGAAAGAGAAGGGCTGCTTATTAAGGTTCATCTCTGAAGTTACAGCTTGGGAGACCAAGCCAAGTTAATAGGACCAAGGCATTTCCCAACTTTGAAAGCTTGATCTTGCCAACTTTGTATCATGTTAAACTTTGTAAAGTTATGTCCTAGTTATCGCAGCACAAGCTTCTGAAAAAGGAGCAGCCAGGGACAGACTTTTGGGATGTTTGCAGGATCTTTTTCAACTATACAAAGGTGAGATTGGCCAGAGGGATCTTTTCTGTGATCTTTTACAGTGCAGTAAGAACGAAAAACGACAGTTCTGTGGCTGGTAGGAAGAGCATATGGATTTCCCCAGCACGTCCCTGTCTGGAACCCACAAAAGCCTCCTGACACAACAGAGAAGGTTTATTTCAAACATCT